TATGGACTTCCCTTGAGAAGAAAATTAAGCAAGGATTGCCCAAGGAAACCTAAGTGAACTGACAAAGCAACTCCATACTTGGTGTGGAAAACTATTGTCACTGGTTTCAACTCTTGTTACAAGAGTTAGTTCATTAGAAGCAGAAAATGATGCAAAACGTCTTGAAACTGACAGTCTTAAACAAAATTCTAATAGTATAAGTTGTGTTAATGCATTAACAAAGATAGAAAATGGAACCTCCAAAGAAAACGATGCAGTTTTATTTGCCAAAATTACGAAGGAAAGTAATGAAGAAAGTAGAGTTGAAAATAATATTATTATCAGTGGTGTGGCATAGTCTTCTAACCAGAATGATGATGATAAAGCCGCAGATGATATTCTGGCTATTTTCAAACTGTCCAGAAATGATGTTAAGGTTCAGAGGAGACCCCCACATGAAAATGCTAGATATCTCAAGAAAGTGTCTGGTTTTAACAGAATTTATGTTAGAGCTGACCAAACCGAAAATGAGAGGATTGTATCTTCAAAACTCTGTGCTGAGTATAGAGCCAGAAATGAAAAGTTGATTGATGAAGTAGAGGGTACTGAAGGGAGGCTCCAGAGCGGCATTAGAGATGGCAAAAAAGATTTTTGGGCAGTCCGTTTTGGGTCAATTTATTGGACAGATAGAAAGGAAATCTAAAACTAATTTAAAAATGTCTATGCTTTGTCAAAGTCACATAGATCCAGTTAAGGCAGTTTTTTCACTCTCTTTTTCTTCTATTACTATTTCAGATCTTAAATGCTTTTATACAAATGCTATATCGTTGGAGAACAAATGGACTGATTTCAAAGCTCGAATAGCCACATTAGATCATCCTCATATAATAGCCATTACAGAAACCTGGTTCAATTCATCATTGCTGACCTCTATAAATAACTACACTGAATACATAATAGAAAAGGGACAGGCGGTGGCGTAGCCATTTATATTAGAAATGATATTCATTAAATTGCGAGTTTAATGATCAGCAGCTGGTTGAGCAAGTTTGGTGCAAGATTGTTATAGGACAAGATCGTCTCTTAGTGGGATGTATTTATTGTCATCCTCAGACGCAGTATGAGTCTGATGTTCAAACTGATGAGTCTATTACACGTGCTAAAGCATTCATTGATAATGAAATATACACCAGTTTACTTATTGTTGCTCAATCACAGTGATATTAAATGGACCCATCTGGGAGGTCATTGTATTAAAGGAAAACCTGCTAGTCTTGAATTCCTTAAAAATATTAGTGATTGTTTTCTCACCCAGTTCGTTACTGAACCTACTTTTCTCAACAACACTTTAGATTTGGTTTTTTCTGACAACCCTGATTGCATTGTCAATGTTGTTATTGGGCCTGCTGTTGGCTGTACAGCGAAAAATTGCCTTCATTATTCGTTGTTATGGGACCAAGTAAATGTAATCCAAAATGGTTTAATGCTGAAATTAGAACTGCGCCTAGAGAGAGGCTGTTTATGAAATTGCAATGTTGTTCTTCTAAATATAAAGATAAAAATCGTATATTGTACAATAGGCAAAATCGATCAGTCAAGAAGTTAGTTGCGGAGGCTGTTTTAAACTACGAAAACGATATAAAGTGTGTAAGTCCAATCCAAAGAAGTTCTATGCTTATGTGAACAGCCAAAAACCTTGTATTAGTAAAATCTGATCGCTTATTAATTCTGTTGGTACTGAATTTGTTGATAAAAAAGCTGTTGCTTATTGTCTGAATGACCAGTTCTACAAATCATTCTCTAAACCTACCAATAACCCAGTTAATCCGGACTTTCCTCTTTGTACTAAAGCCTGCTGCGAACCGAATCTTAAAGCACTTTTTTGTCCAAATAAATAATTGAATTACTACTTTTTAAGTTAGATAATACCAAAGGTACTGGTATTAATGGTATCCATCCGTTTGTATTAAAAAACTGCAGCAGAAGTTTTAGTGTACCGCTTTCACTTTTGTTTATAAATTCATTCGAGTCAGGCCTGGTTCCTTATGTTTGGAAACAGGCAAACATTACACCAATATTTAAAAAAGATTTACACACAGATCCAGGTAATAGGCCAATCTCTTTGACCTCTACAGTTGGCAAATTAATGGAGAAAATAATGGTCCAATAAGAGCCCAAGGCTCTTATTGGACCACTATTGTTTCTTATTTTTATCAGTGATATGCCAGAACTTGTCATAATTTATTGTAAATTGTTTGCTGATGATTGTCAACTAGTTGTCAAATTAAAAAGTGTTCTTGATTTTGTTCATGTTCAGGTTGACATAGATTCTTTAAGTGAGTCCTCTAAACTGTGGTGTATGGATTTCAGCATCAGCAAATGTAAAGTTTTAAAGTTTCACGGCAGATCATTGTATCTCAATGACTCTCTTTACATAGAGGACAATGCTGGAAATCATATTCAACTAGAGAGTATCTGTTCGTCCTCTGCTTGAATACTGCGCACCAATTTGGAATCCATTCCTTAAAAAAGACATTGAGCAACTTGAACAGGTACAGAAACGTGCTACTAAGTTACTTTCTCAGTTACGGAACCTGAGTTATCAATCACGTCTGGCTAAGTTGGGTTTAACAACTTTATACGAACGCAGAATAAGAGGTGACCTAATAAATACTTTAAAATTTCCAAGAACTTTAATATAGTTAAGTGGCTAAATCATACACTCAGCCCATTAACAGTCAATGGGCCAGTTGGTGGTCTATGCGGTGCGAAATTCAAAATCCATAGAGAGTTTACTAGAAATTTAACCAAACTTAATTTTTTTATGCAATCGTGTAGTACCTTAGTGGAATAGTCCACCAGATTTTGTTGTTGCTTCAAAGACAGTTGACCAATTCAAAAATAATTATGACAAATTGATAAATTCAATTGTTCATCGGTCTACTATAGCTGGGTCTCGATAAATTCCCAGCTATATAGTATAGCTCATAGGAGTTTCAAACTTTTATTGTAGAATAAAAATAATAATAATAACAATAATAATTATAATAATAATAATAATAATAATAATATATATATATATATATATATATATATATATATATATATATATATATATATATATATATATATATATATATATATATATATATATATATATGTATGTATGTATATACAGTATCGGACAAAACAAGTGCAACCAAATAATCGTAATTTAGTTTCTATATATAAAAGCGCTGCATTTTTTCAATTTAGAGAAATAACTATGTAACTGTTTAGAGACAACGTTCTTCAAGTTTTATTCATCACAAAGTTCATTATTTGTACACGAAAATTAATAAATTAATCAAAAGTATTAAAAAAATTTGGTTTCCTTCTGGACAAAACAAGTGCAACTCCACAAATTGTTGACCAAGCTGTATTTCGCTATCAATATTTCGTTGCGAATCCTTTGTTGTCGATCACAGCCTTGCATCTTCAAGGCATAGATTCAATTAGGTGATCAATGAAACTTTGTGGAATCGCTGCCCAGCCTTTTGGATTTGTTCAATCAGTTGATCCTTATTACGAACACCTTCACGATTAATTCTGCGGTTGACGATCTCCCACAGGTTCTCGATAGGGTTGAGATCTGAAGATTGAGGCGCCCAATCCATCACCGATAGGTGGTTGTCTTGAAACCACTGCATGTCTACTTTTGCAGTGTGTTTCGGATCGTTGTCTTGCTGAAAAACCCATTTTATTGGCATATTCCATTCAGCATGAGGTAACATAACATCTTTCAGGATATTTTTATACATGAAACGGTCCATTATTCCATTGATTCGATGTATTGGACCTAGACTGTTAGCAGAAAAACACCCCCAGACCATTACATTGCCTCCACCATGCTTCACAGTCTTATGACAGTAACGTAAATTGAGGCGTTTTCCGGCCGGTCGACGTACACGGCAAATGCCATCGCTCCCAATGATGTTGAACTTCGATTCATCACTGAACAGAACAGTTCGCCATTTCTGCACATTCCAGTCAATATGAGATGTAGCAAACAGGAGTCTTTTTCTCTGGTTCTTTAGTGAAATTTTTCTTCAGCGGTTTCTTTGCAGGGCGCCGAGAAAACAATCTGGCTTCAACAGCACGTCGTCTGATTGTTCGGTCCGATACAGGCAGCTCTAATTGCTTTTGTATCTCGACTGATGATATCCAGGGATTCTTCTTGACGGATCTGACAATCATAAAATCCTCTCTAGAAAGGGTGGAAGGCGGTCTTCCACCTTTGTTATCTGCTGCCAGCTTCCCCATAGAACAATATTTGGAACAGTCTTGATATGGTCCATTTTTTCACGCGATAATTATCACAAATACTTTTTTTTTGACATTTCACTTCACGTAATCGCCAATAATTTTCTTTCTTAGTTCCAATCCAAGACTATTGGGAGCCATTTTTGCACTTGAAGTCATAAAAATAATAAAAATAAATAATCACGCTTCTCAAGGCTTACCGTGTTACATTTACCTTGTGATGATACAATAATGCTCTGTGGAACACAACGTCTTGGTTGTATGTGGAATGTATTGATGTAATGAAACACTTGTTGTATTTCACTTCTTGTATTGATGTTCTTCGATAAAACACTTTGATAAAACTCACTTTGATAAACTGTTTTGATAATACTGACTAATTGACTTCCATATACTGACTGAATTACATGTTGGTTTACATGTCTCTTATAGTAAAATGAACCTGTGTAAACCTGTTCTGGAAGATTCTAGATGCTTCTTTTCGATGCTTCTGAAAGCTTCTGGATACGTCTGGATGCTTCTGAATGTTTCTGGATACGTCTGGAGTCTGGATGACTCCAGACTCCTGAACTGTTTGCTGTGGTAGCATAGTTCGTTTCGTTTTTAAGGCATGTAAAATTAGGAATACTTTTAAGCATTGTTCGATGTTGGTTGCAAATGTTTTGTCCAATACTGTATCTATCTATCTATCTATATACATATATATATATATATATATATATATATATATATATATATATATATATATATATATATATATATATATATATATATATATATATATATATATATATATATATATATATATATATGTATGTTATATATATATATATACATATATATATATATATATATATATATATATATATATATATATATATATATATATATATATATATGTATATATATATATATATATATATATATATATATATATATATATATATATATATATATATATATATATATATATATATATATATATATATATATATTTATTAATATATATTAATATATATGTATGCATTTATATATATATATATATATTATATATATATATATATATATATGTATATATATATATATATATATATATATATATATATATATATATATATATATATATATATATATAAGGCATGTAAAATTATATATTTTTAAGGCATGTAAAATTAGGAATACTTTTAAGCATTGTTCGATGTTGGTTGCAAATGTTTTGTCCAATACTGTATCTATCTATCTATCTATATACATATATATATATATATATATTATATATATATATATATATATATATATATATATAATATATATATATATATATATATATATATATATATATATGTATGTATGTATGTTTATATATATATATATATACATATATATATATATATATATATATGTATATATATATATATATATATATATATATATATATTATATATATATATATATATATATATATATATATATTTATTAATATATATTAATATATATGTATGCATTTATATATATATATATATTATATATATATATATATATATAATATATATATATATATATATATATATATATATATATATATATATATATTAATATATATTAGTATATATGTATGCATATATATATATATATATATATATATATATATATATATATATATATATATATATATATATATATATATATATATATATATATATATATATATATATATATATATATATATATATATATAACATTAATTGATTTAAATAAAAATCAAATTATAGGATACAAATGATGTTAAAGGAAGAGGAGGAGATGATCGCTCAGAACAAGTTAGGAAAACATCAAATACTGTAGGAAGAAAGTTATCAGTTGGTCAAAAAGGACCTGTAGCACGTAAAACTGGTTTAGTCAATACTAGAAAACTTTCAAAGCAAGAAGAAAGACAAATGGAACAATTGCAGGTCTTAGATTGTTTAATCATTTTATCTTTATCTATTTGTATGTTTTTATAGAAAAAAGTTCTTATTTGTTTATTACATTAATTTTGACGCATGTTATTCATTATATGACATATTATTAATTACTAATTAATACTAAAATTTTGGCTCTAGTTTTGCTGGTTTCAAAAAGAAGTATTTCTTTTTTGATAAGATTTATTTCTATATTGCTAAGTTTTATTTTAATACTAGATTGTTCAAACAAAAATAAAATACTTTAAGAGGAACCCAGCATTTGTCAGGATTTCTGATTTCTACATCCAAATATGCAAAGTATACTATTTCGCAAATGTTTATTTATTTTTAACTGCAACTCCACCACAAAATGTGTTAAAAAAGTTATTGCAATGGGATTAAAAAATCCATACGTAGAGTATAATTTAAAGACATAATTTAAACTGAAAAAAAAAAGAAGCAGCTGTATTATCAGAACTACTGAGCTAATAACAATTGGTTTTATTGCCGAACTTATTACAGATTATTATGTAGACCTTATTACCTACAACATATTAAAAATATGTCTTACATTATAAATAATATATATTTTTTATCTTTAAAATGTGAGAAACAGTGGGGTACAGCTTCACTTTTTGTATAATCAGCACATCAAAAAACACAAAATTAGGTGAACTTATTATTATTTTTTATTATTGGTCTATGTTATGGACAAAACTTGATTCTAAAAGTTTTAAGGTATTTTTTTTAGGCATCTTTTTTAGACATTCCTGCACCTGTGCTCTGGTCGCCTTGATTTTTTTAAAGTATTATCATTTTAATGAATAATAGTGCAATAATAGTTGCATTTTTCTTCTTGTCAAAAATCAGGAATGCCAGAAATCTCCAATAACACGCTAAACATAGATAAATCTCCTATAATAAGTTCAGACAAATGAAAAAAACCTCAAACAGTATTTTAAATATTATAGTTTCTTACAAAAAAATTGTATTTTTTCAATCTAAATATATTCTTGAAAAATCTTCTTACAATCTCATTGAACTGTAACAACCATAACTCTTAATTTTTCACTGTAACGGACCTTTTTCGTAGACACAACAAATCTTTTCAGTGTCTTGTTTAAGTTTTTATATACTGCTTTAGATGTTTGTTCTAGAGCAACACCGAGCGGGATCTTCTGCCTATTGAGATACTCTTTGAGATGGAATATATAGAGGTGATCGGTCTCTTTATATTTTATCAGGAAAAACATTTCCTCCTGTTGCTAGATTTATATTTTCCTAATGTACAAGAAACAAATCTCTCAGCGATTCTCTGAAATAAATAAGACATGGAGAATTGGAGCAGTTGTTTTTTTGTTGCGAGAATGTAAATACTCGCAACAAAAAAACAACTGAATACTCGCAACTAAAAAAAATTAAAAAAATGAAATTTTTCTAATGAAATCTTCTCAGATGTAGGTGAATTCAGAAAGATTAAGTGTATAACTACTTCTAGTACACTGACCTAGGCTGGAACAATTGCAGTTGCTATCTTGTTTAATTCGTCCCAGCTTTTTAACTTGATCATGACCACTTATCCAGGAAGTCGCCACAGCTTTACTGCTAGCTTTACCTTTCTATTTTAAATTTTTAAAAAGTATGTCTTAAAGTTTCAGCAAATTCCAGACGGATGAGAGTTTAGGTTCAGATTGAAATCAGAATCCACAAAGTCTTGTGATCAGATGAGTCAATAAGCTATTCTTCTCCAAAAATAGACATTTTTTGTCTTTATCAACACAACAAAAACATCTCTTATTTTCTGAATGAAATCTTGCTTTTTGCAGACCCATTTTCAACCAAAACATTTTTGTCTAGTATTTTCTGTATTAAATTATTTTAATTTTATAAATCATTATTCTAACAAATTGTTTCTTTTCAACAAATTAGCAGACAATCGACGTAATTTATTGAGATTAATTGTTCAATGTTTTGTTGTATTTATACCATGAATTTGCTATTAGCTAATTTTCAATTAATCTCTAAATAAAAATAACTTTGATTTGAGACACAAATAACGTGATTTGCAAACTGGAGAAGAAATACCCTTTTTTCTAAATCCCCCTGTTTGAATAATATATATATATATATATATATATATATATATATATATATATATATATATATATATATATATATATATATAATATATATATATATATATATATATATATATATATATATATATATATATATATATATATATATATATATATATATATATATATATGGAACATTGTTAGGCACATCATTTATTGTTTCAATTAATGCATTTCGATTAAAAACTTCACGTTTTGCAAGCTGTTTGGTCCACCCAAGACCACAAAATTTCAATACAGTTGAGATTAGAGCTGTTTGCAAGCCAATCAATTGTTTTGGCAATTGTCTCTTTAAATCATTTTTGGACTTAAATTGCTCGTTGACACGAGACATCTTGTTAGAAGCTGAATTTTTTGCGAGGTTTACCATAAATTTTTAATGAAGGAAGTAGATTATCACCAAGAATTTCTATGTATCTTTCAGAGTTTAGTCTACCATTAAATAAGTGAAAAAACCTGTCGCCTTTATGTTATACAAGCCCAAATATCAATGGAACCACTACCTTGCTTAGTGCGTTTTAATACACACAAAGCAAGATGCCTTCTTTGTATTTTAAGTGGTTTTTTGATGAAACATTACTCTTAGATACTTAATACACGAGAGGGGGCGTTAATTTTCGGTAATTTTACTTGAACTTTTTTTTTTTTTGTCTAATCGTATCGTTTTAAAAGACGAACATCACAAAAGTGATCAACTCAAACATTCGCTTTCCTATTTCTCTTGAGCTTAACTTAGGTTCTGAAATAGTAGCTGCTTGAATTCGTTTCTCTTGAGCAAACTTTATGCGAGCTATAGTTGCTTTTTGATAACCATTTTAATTCAATCGACCAATTTAAATCAATCTTTTTACTTGTTTTTTGATTTTGTATGTATTATGGTTTTAATCTATCATTGACATCATTTAAATAATAGTAGAGCAAAAAAGATAATTTGAAACACTTAAATGACTCAAGTTTCAAGTAGTGGTGTTTAAGTTAACTGTCTTAATTTGATTTAATAGAAAAAATGAGTAATTATGTTTGCATTAATTAACAAGGGTTTAAATTTTAGTTAAAAATAAATTAAAAACATATTCTACTAATAAAAGTAGTGAATAATGATAATTTTTTTTCAGAATTAAAAAAATGTTAAACCTAACAATAGAAATATTAGTCAAAATATTTGTTATACCTAACTCTAGAAATATAGTCAAAATATTTATTTATACTTAACATCATAGTAATGCTGTATATATGTATATATTTTTACATTTTTGAACTAATAGAAAAAGTACACGCGCTTAAGGCCGGCGCGATGGGGGGGGGGAATGTGTCAAACACCCCCATCAATGATTTTTTCGCTCATTTAGTCGGCAAATTTGACCCTTTTTGACTAGTTAGTCGGCAAATGTAGACAACTTAGTCGGTAAGTTCAGACAGTCAGTCGGCAAATATCGTTATGGTAGTCGGAGGGCAGTCGACAAATTTTAAAAAATAAGAACCTTTTTTTTTTTTAACCGGCAAAAGTTGTAATCGCACTCCCTCCCACGTGACACCTAATCGCGCCGGCCCTGTACGCGCATCTCACTCGACTGCCATTCAACAATTTTTTGTTGCGCATTTCGTTACCATATTATTTACCATACTTTTCATCTATTAAATACCTCTATTAATTACCTCTACTTTTCATCTATTAAATGTTTTGTTATGGAATCAGTCTAATAAATAGGGCGTAGTTTTCGATCTGAGGCCAGCCTAATGAATAGAGCAAGTTTTCGGGATCTTTTTACCACAGCTTTGTGAACAACTTAAAAAATTATTTGTATGACACTTAGGTCAAAAGATCTACTGATACGAAATATACAGCTTCGACTTCTGGTTAAATGGAAAGTTGTACATTCTCGGGTACAATTAAAATTACCATAAAAAGCTGGTAAATACAATCGGGTAAATCTAAAATCACCATAAAAAGCTGGTAATACAATTATAATTGTACAATCGGGTAAAACTAAAATCACCATAAAAAGCTGGTAAATACAATTATAATTGTAAAAGATATGCAAAGCTTGCTCAGTTTTTATGGATCTGTTGATTATTTTAAAAATGCAGGAGAAATTACACACCACTTGATGATGTAATTCTTTTGCTGCAAATTTCATACTTTAAAAAATACATGTTTGACATGTTTCATAATATAATTATTACATTTTCAAAAAATTTAATTTTACAATAAAACTCTGGAATAAATATCAAAAATAGAAGACTTAACAGAAAAATATTAACGAACAAAAAATATACATTAAATTATTTTTGTCATTTTTAAATATCTTTTGATTCATAAATATTTAAAAATTGAAAAAACAATATTTGAATTTTTTTTTTTTTTTATTCTGTTTAGGAAAAGAAAAAGATATATGAAGAGCAAAAAACCAAGATACTTAGAAAGAATTCTTCGTTTTTAGATAGTATACGTCAAGAAATAGATGGTAAAGAAGATGACCAATACGATTTCTGAATCACCTATGTTTTTAATAATCACATGACAAAAATGTTTATCCTATATAAAAAACTTTATACAATAAAAAAATTTATTATAAATTTAATTACAAAAACATAAAAACAAAAAAAAAGGGGATAAAGGCACTAAATTTATAAATATTTCCTTATTTAAACAGCGTTTCAGGAATTTTACTTTTGCGCTATATTATTTTTAAAGTATATATATTTTATAAAAAAACATTATTTAAAATCGATTTTTATATATAGGTATATAATATATAATTTTTATTTGTATATTTTAAAATTTCTGTAAAGAAGACATTTATTTACAATAAATACAAAATATTCACTAATGAAATATTTATGAGCTGCATAATACTCAAGGATTTCACATTGGTATCACAAAACACTTATTTAGAACGAATTCATTTGTCGGCTTTCTTCGTAAGACTAAATAAAGTAAAAATACGATTAATTAATTTTTTTTGCATGTCCTCTTAAATAAATTAAATAATTTTTTTTACATGTCCTTTTTTCTAACATAAACTTCAAAATTTAAAAGTTCTCATTTTCCACAGAGTTTGTTAACCAGGCCGAAGACTTAAATTATAGCCTTACGTTAAGGCCAATTATTAGCAAAACTGCAGGTAGCAAGTGATGAGACAATAAATCCGCATGTGAAATTAAACCAAGGTTATGCGTAGAATTCGACGAAGTCATTAAGGTGGTAGACTGCTAAAAAAGTTAGAAAAAATCGATTTTTCAAGAGGCATTATCTTAAACAGTACCTGTTGCAGAGTCTAAAAAAATATATTGTAATTCATATGAGAAAAATAAATTTTATTGCCAGATTAGAACTTATAAAATAGATTTATTTAAGCAGGGTAATTTTGTTTCCCCTAGCAACGCTTATAGCAACGGCTAGTTAAAGATAGAAATTAAAAAAAGTTTAAAAACAAAGAAAAAATCTTTGAGAAGCTTGGAAAAGGTTCGATGATAAATACAATGATGAAGAGGAACAGTATATAAACAAGCGGATTTTAACCTGTCTTTATAAGTTTGTATATACAATATTTTAAATTTTATATGCATTTTTATCTGCTTTATACTTCTTATTTTCTGGCAAAGATTGCAAGAGCTGTAATTGTCCAATTGATTTCAAATTTTCTACAGAGATTCATTACAATAAGCTTTATGTCCTGAGATAACAAAAATTAAGAAAAGAAATAAAAAAAACAACAACAAATTTTTGGTTTATTATATCAAAAATTTGATTTTTAATTAGGCGCATTGAAAAATCTTGACATGCTTTAAAATAAAGAAATTTTCAGCAAAAATTTTTATCTCAGGACGTTTATTTACATAAAAAGAATAAAATTGCAACAAATTAGAACTTAATACATTATACTTTTTGAGATATCTTTGCCAAGATTTTAGCATATTTTAGGCTTAAAGTCACCTGTTTTTGTCCAAAAATTACTATGGGAAAAAAAAATAATAAAAAATTACATTTTTTAAAATGTAATTATAATATTTGAAGTTAAAAAAATCATTTGGAATATTGCTAGATACAAAAATAATTTTTTTAGCAGTCTACCACCTTAGAAAATATATTCGGAGATATGTATTAAAGCCGAAAGCAAAAATACAAATATTTTTGCGCTTAATGCTAACAACTAATATTAACATCTTTTAATTAAAAATATGTCGATATTAGTTGTTTGCATTAATTATAAATCATAAGCATTAACTATCACTATATAGCCAATAAGTCTTTATAACATTTAAAAAATATCACAGTTTCAAGCAACATACGAGCTCTATGAAGGAACATTATGAATCCACTCTGACAAAAAATACGTTGCAGAAACACAATTTTATTTTATTACTTTTCGAATATAGAATTTTAAGTTATGAATATTGCTACAGTGTACAGTGTACAACAAAAAATCTTTTTGATAAATTCTCGTGATTTATTCGTTCAATATAGTTTGTCAAAAATATTTTGTTTGTAAAACATGATTTTTTCCTATTTTTTAATAAAGGGTTTTTGGATCTGAGGTGTTCTGAGGTGGCTTTTGGATCTGAGGTGATCTCAAAATTGTTTCTGGTGTTATTCCTGAGCAAAGGTAGAAGACGAAAACAACTAAGGCCAAGGCCAAAATATTCAAAGCCAACAGTTTCAAGGCTAAGGCTTTAATTTTTGGCCTCAATACAAAGCCAAGGACTAACAACTCTGATTTTCCATTGGGCTTTCTAAAAACTATTTATGGAATTTATGAATAGTTCTTATTCGAAAATGGCAATTTTCGAATAAGAACTATTCGAAAGTTGCCATTTTTTTAGTTATTTTTAAACATATACGAAAAGATAAATGTGACGTAAACTTGGCGCCATTATCTTTTGGCTTCTTAATATCGATAATAAATTTAAGGTGATAATATGAAATGCTAAAGGTACTTAAGTGTAAATATTTGAAATAATATTTAAATACCTGTCTAAATATTTGACACATTCCCAATGTCCGTGTATTTCTGAAATTCTTCGAGGGGTTGCACCAAAATCATCATTGCAATTGAGGTCGGCAGAGTAACTTTCTAGTAGCTTTAATATTTCGATATTCCCAATCTCTGCAGCACAGTGAGCAGGAGACCATCCCTCTTGCATACGAAGCATAGGATTAGCTCCATTTTCCAATAAAACTTTACAACATTTATAACGGCCTGTGAAAATATTAAATCGTTACTAGGAATTTTAAATTTGCTTAAGCGTTATAAAACAAAAAGAGTATTATGTTTATAATAACTTATGTTAAACTTTATTTATATTATATATTATTTGCTAACATCTCTTTAGAATCTCCTAAAGTCGCTATCAATTCTAAAAGACACTAAATTTTCTAAATTAGTTTTCTAAATTTTACTGTGATATCTAACAAGAAATTAAAAAAAATAAATAAAATAAGTCGACATTTGTTTATTTTTGACCAAACCAAAATTATAATTTACTAACATTATTTGTTAACAAAATTATTTTGTACCATGGATTGTATCATTTTGTATTTTTATACCGTGGATTGCCACAAAAGCAGCAGTTTTTGTTCTTATTTTAATGCTATTAAATAATTTATGCTATAAGCAAACCGCGGACTTCTTATTTATATTTTTCAAGTTAAGCTTACTTAAAAACAAGTCTACACAACCCTCAGTTTGATCAGGGTCATATTTTAAATTTTGGTACGCAAATTAAGCATATTGCAAAGTTCAAGCTCCAAACAAACATACATCCTTAATGACGGTTTTTTATAAATTAAACCTTTTTTCTTATTTGTATACCAAAATTTTATAAAAATATCACTCTTCATTCAAAAAAAATCTTTTCTACAGAATTTACTTCCCGTTTTGGACAGGGTGTGGTATGTACTTAGAGCGGTATTTTCGTTTCTAGACTCTAACCATCACAATTTTTGGCAAAAAGGGTTAGGTCCTCATTCAACATAAACATGAACAATAATATTTTGAGCTTGCACTATACTTGAAAGTTACTTGACTTGAACACCAAAAATCATAGATCTTATATTTTATACTCACTGATAATGTTGATTAACATTTGGGTTTCTTTATTTGATATTTTTTGTCGGCAATAGGTTAAAACGTCTGTTTTTTAGATTGTAAATTTTCCTCTATGAACTTATAATTATACCTTATAAACTAAATATACCTTGAATTATAGCCCAATGTAAAGGCGCTCTGCCACTAAAGTCGGCATCTGGAAAATTGATAAATTTGTTGCCGTAAGTTTTAAGAAAAGCCTCCAATTGTAAGGAATCCCCATTGGCAGCTAATTCGTGACATAAAAACTCTGTCATTTTGAGACTGTAAATAAATAAAAACGAGCCTGAAAAATCTAAAAAAGCTTGAATGATGTAAGTTGCTTTTATTCAAAATGAATTAAAAATTTTGAAAAATGCAGTAAAAAAATCAGAATTCACACAAAAACGGGCTTAATAGTGCCCTGCAACTTTAACAATTTAAAAAAATGTTATGATTAAAGTTATATAATATTATTTAAAAATAAACATAAAAACAAAACACAAATATTTGTTTACAAAAAAAAAAATAATTTAATTCTATAAAATGTTTGAAAAATTAAAGCAATTAAATTATTTAATCAAATAAAGATATAAAGTTAAAAAGATAAAAAATAAATTAAAAAAGATACAAAGAACGTTATATCGACATAAACCACAGCTTCAAATGTTAAGACCAGTGGAGTAGCTAAGTGACATTTGTGGATATTAACGATGATTAAAAAAAAAAACCCGCATAAGATAAAACATAAAGAGTATAAAAAATGTATCCATTATTAGCGATTATTTGAAAAGTTTTTTATTTCATTGGTTTTTATTTTTTATCTTCATATTTTTGATATTGAGTGATAAAAGTGCAACACTCTGTAACTACGCCACTGGAAATATATATATATATATATATATATATATATATATATATATATATATATATATATATATATATATATATATATATATATATATATATATATATATATATATAAATACACATATTAAAAGAGTAATATAAGTTATACAATAAAAGTTATTTCAAATATTTCTTGTTATCAATTGAACAAAATCTATTTTTACAAATATTATAAAATTTAAAAATGTGAAGTGACCATGACTGTGTCTAGTCTGTTAACCGTAGTTAGTCTAATCTGTCAACATCAACCACCAAACCTTCCATATCGATCTGAACAGCATGTGCCGTTGCTCTACCTTGAATCAACTAAAAAATAAATACTGCATACGGTGATAATTAGAAGGGATTTTGCAACTGTTAGCAATGTAGAACTGTGCACCGTAAAATAAATGCACCCGTCTTATATGCAAGAGAATTTAGAATTGAATCTTTGGTAGTTTTACAAAAAATTTTTTTTTTACCTGTAAAGTAGTCTTTTAAAGCTATTAAAAGTCAATAAAAAAAAAGATGTTCTTCTATAGTAGTAACTCCATTAGAAAATATGATGCAAAAATTGTATAACAATTATTGGTTTAACAAATATCATAAAGATTCTATATTTTTTCATCAAATACTGATTTAAAAATGTTTAATTTTCGATAAAAATTACCTCTATTTTGTTCAGTTCTTCCCTAACTTTATCTAACATATTTTCTTCTTTCGTTATTAAATACAAGAAACCTCCTCCACCAGCACCTGCTAATGATTGGCCTTTGAAAAAAAAAGTTATAATTTCTTCTTACACAGATAAAAATGTGACTTCTAATCCTAATTTTAAATCTTTTTAAGCAAATAAATAATAAATTTATTAATGTCAAAAACTTTATGATTATTATTTGGTTTCAGTAAGAGCATTAAAATCTAGGTTTTAAATTTCTCACTTAAAAAAAATTAAATATTTTTCTCACTTTTGTCACGCGTTTATCGAAACGCAAATTATATGCATAAAATTATTATTTTCTAAAAGAGTTTCTTTTTTTTAAATAAAGCTTTATATAAATTTCAAGTTTAAATTGCAATTTCTGGGTATATGAAATCTATGTTTAATACAGCCTGTATATGTTTATCTATGTATAAACAACCTTAATCAATAAATTCAGAAAAAGTCATTGAAATTTCGAATGTTAACAAATCGAATTATAAGTCACCGATTGAATAAACTGTTTTAGTTTTGTATTATAAAATAACAAATTATAAGTTTATCAAACAACTACCGTAGACGTATGGTTGAAGCACATCCATTATAGTTCGTACAACGTTTGGTTCACAACCATGAGCCATTAATTTCTTTTGCTTCCAGTATTCGTTCAAACAGGCCCCGATCCCAGCCAAGTCTCCTGAAACAAACGAGATAGAGATCAAATAGAATAATTAGGATAAAAGTTAGATAGAGATTTCAAGTTAATAAAAGATAAGAATATGAAAAATATCTTTAAATGTTTGGTATATTTTACAGCGGGCACAGACGTCCGTAAGTCGTCTATATGACGTCTTATAGATGTCACAAGCTCTTAAGACACCCAACAAACGTACTGCGCCTAATGAGTTAGTAAAACATGCAAACAATCAAAAATAAATACTTGTTACTTTACTAGCAATAAAAAGTGTAAGAGAGTATAGGTAGTAAAGACACTACAAAATATACAATCTTATAATCTACCATTTTGAAATGCTTCTATTGATCTTTCAGCATTTTTTACTAGTTCAGAAGCTGTGTAAACTATTTCTGGATTTCTTGCATTCCAATTTCGTAACACATCCTAAAAATTTTATAACACACACATCCTAAAATTTAACAATACATCATAAACAATTTTATAAACCCTAAAAAAAATAATAATAAAAAAAATAACTTAGAAAATATATATATATATATATATATATATATATATATATATATATATATATATATATATATATATATATATATATATATATATATATATATATATATAGCTTTCAAGTGTATAGCATTTTTTGTTTGGTTGTAAGAGACGCAAAGGTTATAAGTGTTTTGCATGCTTGACGATTTTTTACTATCGAAAAATATGGATCAAAGGATTTGCATCAAATTTTGTGTAAAAAATAAAATAAAGTGCTTCAAAACACTTGAAATGTTGAGAGTGGTATACGGTGAAACTGTTCTGAGTAAAAAAATGTTTACAAGTGGTACAAACTCATTCAAGAGGCCGGGAGATACCAATGACAAGCCTCGCTCTGGACGCCCAGCCACGCCAACAACTAATGAAATCGTTAAAACAGTGAAGAAAATTGTTTTGGAAAATACTCGAATCACTATCAGAGAAGTTGCAGATGATGTTGGTATATCGCTTGGCTCGTGCCATGAAACTTTTTCTAACGTTTTGGGAATGAGACGTGTGTCAGCGAAGTTTGTTCCGAAATTGCTCAATTTTGACCAAATAAACCGTCGCATGAGTATCGCTCAAGAACTGTTGAATTACGTCAACAACAACCCAGATCTACTCAAAAGGGTCATAGTTGGTGACGAATCATGGATATATGGTTATGATATCAAAACCAAAGCTCAATTGTCCCAATGGAAGAGCCCAGGTGAGCCAAGACCGAAAAAAACACGCCAAATTTGATCAAATGTCAAAGTTTTGCTCACTGTTTTCCATATTCACCGGATTTGGCCCCATGTGACTTTTTCTTGTTCCCAAAACTAAAGAGACCTATGAAAGGACGGAGATTTGCAACGATTGAAGAAATAAAGACTGCTCTGCCGAAAAGTGCTTATGAAAAGTGCTTTGACGATTGGAAAAACCGTTGGCATAAGTGTATTGTATCTGAGAGGGATTACTTTGAAAGGGAAAAAATAGATATTGATAAATAAATGTTTTTTTTTAAAATACAAAGTCACCTTAATTTTTGAATACACCTTGTACACATACTCCACCAAATTCATTAAAACTTTACTAGTAAGGATAAGTAATGTTATAACAAGTGTAAAAACAATGCAAACATGCTCTAAAATTAAAAACTTTTGTTAAACTTGTTAAAACATCAATTTTTTAACAAAAGTAACTAGTGACATTTAAAAAAATTACTAACAGAATAAATTTCAGTATTTGTACTTGGTAATAATAGGCTATATTGTCTTATTTTTATATTGCATTTGATTAAATATTCTTTTAAATATTTGTATTTGTATTTGATTACACTGTGTTTGTTGTTCCATACTAGGTAACTGTTTGTTCTTATTGAGAGAAACTAAAAACTAGGTAACTGTTATTCTTTTTTTAAAGAAAAACCATTCAACTCTTTTTTTGTTTTGTTTGTTTTAACATTTTTAACAATAAAATAATTTAGGAACTTGTTTTAATGTTAATTTTATAAAAGACATATAATTAGAAAAAGAACTTGTTTTCAAAATTAAATTAAATTTTTAAATTTTGAGCACTACTCTACAGTCAAGCGTTTGATAATTTTAATACTATTTTAATAAGCAACAGTTTATGCATATATATATATATATATATATATATATATATATATAAATATATATATATATATATATAAAATATCGTTTTCAATAATTTGTTTCATTATTTCATCAAAAAATAAATCAACTTGTTTCTCTATGTAGCAGCATAGACTCGTGTTTTTGAGTTAAAAGGTTGAGAGAGAGGAAAAAAAAAAACAATTAAAAAAGAAAAAAAAAAGAGTAGTCTCCTGTATAGTATCTGTATAGTAATTATAAAACCCATCAGCTTTGGAGAGGTAAATACATTATTAAAAAAAATTTCAAACATTTTTTTAAAATATTATTTAAATTATTACTATTTTTAGAACAACTCCGAAAAGTTCTAATCTTTTTTATGATATCAACTTTAGCAAAATTTCATTATAGGATACTACTGAATATACAATACTTTAGTAGGATACTATTGAATATATAATACTTTCATTATAGGATACTATAGTAATACTATAATACTTTAGTAGGATACTACTGAATATACAATACTTTAGTACTTTGTATTTAGTTCAGATAATTTACATTATTGGACTTACTTGCAACAAATTTCTTGCTAATCTTGTTTTCCCAGTGAAGACGACAAGCAAATGTTTCTCTAGTTTCTTTAAAAAACCAGCTGGAGTGTTAACTTCCTCAACTTTTACCTGTAGAGGAAGTTCACATTTTGAGCTTCCAACTTTAACAGAAGGATATAATCCACCTACTTGGTCTTGCCAGCCTCCTCCAGTGGTAAGCATTTGTTCTAAGTAAAGGACCTATAAAAAAAATTTCTTAATTAATAATAGTCCACAAATTACGTCACGCAATTTTTGACCATTTTAGACCCCTCTCCTTCCCTTGTCATAGTAACACTTAGTAACATGTTTTGTATGAGTTGTCACAAAACAACTAACCCTCCCTAAAGAGTAATATTATATATGGATAAATTATACTTAAAATTTTTATTCAATAAATTATACTTAAAATTTTTATTCAAAAAATGAATTATTGTCAGTTTTTTTTTCAGTGGATTGTGTGTGAATAGCATAGTAGATTAAGCATAGTAGATTAAGTATACATATAGTAGTAGATTAAGTATAATTTGCCAAATTTTATCAAAACACCATCATTGGTTGCAACAACAATGTCAGTTTCTAGATTGAAGTTGAAATTTTTTAGCCTTCCAGATATTAATTCTAATGTTCTCTGAGCATCACAGAAACCAGCTATTCGAACTAATCCCAAACGATCTATATGAGTGTTTAAAAACCTATGAACTTTTTTCACTCGTCTACAATTATGAAAAAAATTATCCCATTCATTCAAAAATTATCATTCAACTTTATAACAGTTTTAAGTTTAGCTTTTTAATAAATGCATGAATGAGATCCATTACTCTTGAGTTTTTCTTTTGGTAATAAAAATCCTTGTTGTTGAAGAGACTTGTATGAATGAGCTATTCATAATGCTATTATAGAATACCCATCCATTACCACAAGTTTTACCATAGAAAGCCCATCCACTGCTGCAAGTTTTATTACAGAAAGCCTATCCATGTAATTTAAATTATTAAATAAATATTTTTGAAAAAAGGGCCATGGTAGGATCATCTATCTTGCCCTACTCTTTTTATTTGTGACTCAAAATGATACAATCATTTTGATATAAGCTTATATCACCACAACATAACCAAAATACTTAACAAACTAATCAAAGGAAACTAACTAGAGATGTACTGGATATTTTTGCCGGATAATGAATTTTTCTCAAGCTCTATCAAGTTCTATGTTTATGAAGTAAAAACAAGTTTTCTACATTAAATTTCAAGATTTAAAAAAAATCAATAAAAAACTGGTATAACGCAGGTATATGCATTAATAATGTATAAAGAAAAATTCATTTTATAGCCAATTTTTTTTTTTTTTTAATAACTCTTTTCTATACTTTGTCAGCACATATACCATGTTATACAGTTTTTTAATGATTTTTAAAAGATCTTGAATAATATATATTGTTGACTGACAAGACTTGTTTTTTCTTCATAAACACTTATAGAACTTTAGTTAGTAAAAAAGTGCACTGTCCGGCATATCCGGCAAAAATATCCGGTACACCTCTAAACTAACTACATAATAATACTTTATTTTTACAAGTAACAAATTCCACAAACATACTTTGCAAAATAAAAAAAACATGGCATAGATGATATGTATATATAAATAAATACTACAATAAATATCATAGTAGTATTATGTATTATTAATACATATACATATTAAACTAATACATATAAATACATATTATAACATAAAATGTAAATACATTATAGACATATAGAAGTTATATAGACATATTCAGATTATATTACAAATAAATACATAAACTTAAAATAATCTCACACATAAATACATTAAAATAATATAATCTTACATATAAATACATATTATAAATACAAGTAAATGAATATTACATCAAAATTAATCAAGAGAAATATGTCTTTTTCAGGAAGCCATTTTGAAAGAACTTTCTCATTTTAACCTAAAATTCTATGTTTACAACACATTTAATGTTTTTATATGCTACTTATTATGTAAAATATTGAACGAAAAAAAAAAGTCACAAAAAAAGCTTTATCGGATGCAAAAATATAGAAAAAAGAAGTCACGGATACCAGTAAATAAAATCCTTGTCTACCGCAAGGAAAGAATTAAAGCTGTATGTTGTTGAAAAAAAAAGACATTACATAAAGTAGATTAAATCAGATTAAAACAGATTAAATGAAACAATGTTTGAAAATAAAAAAGTTTGAAAATAGAAAACCAGTATTTGTAATTTAAAAAATGGTTATAATTTTGTAGTAGTAATAATAGCAAAAAATAGTAGTTATAATAATAAAAAAAACTAAACTTATTGTTATTTATTTAACAAACTACTTACTGCATGCAATACTGATTCAACATCATAGGAAAGCCCTGTAACTGTCCACATAGCTGCAATCACTACCCCAGCTAATATACTGCTAGCTCCTAAACCTGAACCATGTGGGAGATCTGACCATGTTTGCAATACAAACCCTCCACCATGTTGACGACTGAGAAAACTTGACAAAGATTCTGTACTTTGAAGGCAAAGAATTTCAGAACAAAAAAATGCTGCCTTCAATAAAGCTCCTAAATATATATATATGTATGTATATATATATATAATTATTAGTAATATATATATATATATATATATATATATATATATATATATATATATATATATATATATATATATATAATTATTAGTAATATATATATATATATATATATATATATATATATATATATATATATATATATATAATTATTAGTAATATATATATATATATATATATATATATATATATATATATATATATATATATATATATATATATATATATATATATATATATATATATATATATATATGATATACTAGTTTATAAATATATATGATATATATGTTTACAAACTGGTAAAAACACTTATCTAATTTTTTTCTTCTACAAAAAAATTGTTCCTGATGAACCTACTGATGGTAAAGTGTTTTTACTGATTTATTATTGTTCTGTTCTTTAAGAACATTGAGCATTCTATTTGTAGAATGTATGTGTGTGTGTTTTAGTATATACAAATAAATATGTTTTTATATATATATATATATATGTATACATATATATGTGTGTGTGTGTTTATATATATACATACATATATATATGTGTGTGTGTGTATGTGTGTGTATGTGTTTTAATATATATAAATATATATGTTTGTATATATATATATATATATATGTTTGTATATATATATATATATATATATATATATATATATATATATATATATATATATATATATATATATATATATATATATATATATATATATATAAATGTATATATTTATACATTTATATATATAAATATATGTTTATATATATATATGTATATATATATACATATACATACATATATACTATTTTTTTTTCAACATCTTCGCTTCCAATAAGGCTGCAAGGAACCACTATTTTGAGTTGTTTAGAGGAAACCTCACATGGTGCACCATGTTTCTTTCATGGGAGCTTTTTTTTGCTCCTGCACTTATTTACTCCCGCAAAAAAAAGCCTGCATATATATTTATATATGTGTGTACATATCATTAATTTATATACATATATTAATTGATATACATATATATGTGTATTTTAATTACAATCAATGTGACTGTAATTAAAATACACATATATATGTATATCAATGTGATTGTAATGAAATATACACACATACATGTATAAATATCATTAATTAATGATGATTGATGATGATGATGATGATACAGATAATAATAATGACTATGACGATAATGCTACAGCAATAAACAGAAATATATTAAAAACCAAACCAGGAACATTTGGTTGAGCATAATCCATAAGATCTTCAAACTCTTTACACACAATTTTGATTGGATTTTCTTCTCCAATAATTAGAGTAATATCAAGTCTAAACATAAATATTTTTTTTACTGGTTTACAAAATATTACTTTAATATTCATATGAAATTTAAAATAAATAATCATACTCCGAAACTCTTTTGATTCGACATCCGATGGGTTTCTGAAAGAAAAAGATAAAGTTTAACTTAATTTCTTCAATTTTTTTTTTACCATTTTAAAATATTTACCATATTCCTGGAAGTAACTAATATTAAAACTGTTTTAATTTATTTCGTAGTAATTTATTCAAACTTTATAACTGAATACATAAAAATATAAAAATAATTGTCAGACACTGATGCCCTAAGGCCTCTTTTAAAGCCACCAGAAAGCAGTACAACAAACCACAAAAAAAAAACTAGAGCAAATTGGATCTCCCCAAAGTGTTTTGGAGAATGATCCAATATGTGCACATGTTTTGTACAAAAAACCATCAGTAAATGTTTCTACTAAAGTATGTACAAAAGCAAGGCTATGGTTATTTTTGACACTAATGAGCCAACCTTATTCTGCTGCCATTGATATATAAATATATCTAATGCTTGTTTATATACATTTAAAAATACATTTCTTTACACTAGTTGATCGAACCTGTGAAAACACTGGTCTTTGTAAGTCTATTAAACACCAACCTTTTCTATACTTTTTTCTATATATTTATTTGTCAATCCCATTTTTTTTTTTTGACAACCAATTTTTATGCGGAGCGACTAATGGTGTAGAGGTCATATTTATATGGAATATATTTTTATACTTAAATTTTTTTTTTTTTGACAAATTTGCGCTGGTTGTTTGAAGTTACGCTTTTTGCAATTTTAGACTAAATTTATACAAACTTCCAAGCATTGGCGCAAATAGATTCTGATGTCTGTATCATAGTTAGTGCCAACTTAATGTTAAACTTAATAAAGTGAGTCAGGATAGCTCAGTTAGTTAGAGTGTTGCCTTAGAGCGAATTATTATCAGCCATAGCAGCAGAATTGAATGTTTAAAACCCGGCTTCGCCTAATCAGCATATAAGTAGCACCTTGGTACGAAGAAAACTCATCTCGATTAAATAATCTAGCAGAGTAAATAAAAATTATCATTAATTATTTTAATCAACTCAAGTTGGCACTCAAAACTATTAAAAGTATAACATAATACTGAACAAAGAAATTCTGAATATTATAAGGGGCACTGCTCTACTATTGCCCCCTTTTTTTTTTCTTTCTAGCATTTAAAAATTTTTAAAATAAAAATTTTTGCATTAACTAAAATAACAAAGTTGGTTTATAAGTTAATAACAACTAAAATACAAATTCAAGACTTCTGTTTTATCAGGAAAAAATTTTTTTTTTTTTATATTGAAGTTGTAACTGCCTGAATCCTCAGCTACTTGCCCAATCCCTTAGTTACCTGCCTAAATCCAAATTTTCGGTTGATGTATGTACTAAGCCATATTAGTATCAAATAAGCCACAAATAAATCAACATTGCTTACTTATCAAATATGTTTATACAGTATTGACAGCAGAATCATAACATCTTATATAATTTTTTTTTTAAGTTAATTAAGGTGCCCCAAGAAGTCCTTACGGTCTTATCACAGAGCACCACGGAAGAGCATTTAATAGGAAAATAAAAAAAATTTTGGGAGCTGTGCGAGCTGTTACTCATTTAAATGGGCGCTCTTTTTTAATTCTAATTTTTAATTGCAACTACGGTGCCTTTTAAAAAGCATTTCAGTATATTATGCAATTTTTTTTTTTTTTAAATGACAATGTGTTTTTTATTTTATTTAAAATGATAATAACTTTTATGAGAAAAATTATACTTTTGCGAGAGCCATAAATAGCTCTCGTAAACAATTTCAGGGGAGTGTGGGCAAGAGCAAGATCTAAAGCTCTCGCTTCCCGCCAAGGGCTGTATATATACTTAACATACATTTAGATATTATTAATCAAAGTAATGTTTTACTTTTTCATCAATCATTATACCAAGTGAAACAACTAAACCACCTTGTTCGTAACAAATAGGAGGTGTATCGCTCCACCCACCAGCAATATCAAGTCGACCTAAAAATCATAATAAAAATACGGCAAAATTTAAAAATGCTTATAAACATGTTCATACCTTAATATTTTGATTACAAATAGACTCAATAACACATTGTAAAAAAAAAAAAAAATACCTGGCGCTCTTGATGTTACCCATACATTCATCGGAATTGGTTCTTTTTGCACAACCCTTACAAACTGAATATATAAGAAAAGAATAAATAATTCTTGTCAAAAACTTTTTTTGTTTAAAAAAAAAACAGCTTTAGTTTGTTATTCTGATATTAAAGTATTTTTAAACTTAAGGGAAAAAAGTTCTAATAAAAATACATACTTGTTTGGCGGTAGCAACTGCTTTTCTCACTTGCAATTGAAAAGCACCTTCATAATGTCTTGCTGCTCGAACAAGAAGGTCTGGTCTGTCAACAAAAAAATTTACAAAATAAATTAAAAAAAAAAAAAAGGTCTTAAGAATTAGACAGAATAGATAGAGGTGTTAAACAATGTCAAGTAGAAGCCATAGTTCCTTTGAAAATAACCATAGCTCTTTAGTCCAAACAACAAAAATCAAGCTATCAAGCTTAAGTAAAGTAATAATGAGTATATATGATTATATATGTATAATATGAGTATATATGAGTATATACCTTTGTATATATGATTGTACTGTGTACAACTTTGCTTAATATCACAAAAAAAGTGTTTTGATAGGTGCAACAAGAGATAATAGGTTGCTGGAACAGCAATCATAATAGCTTTAGTAGAAAAGAAAAATAGAAACAATCTTGCAACAATGTGATATAGTATTATATCATAACCAATTATATTTGCAAATGCATTTTTGTATTTTGTCTAAAAAAGAAAAGGCATATCATTAAAAGAACAACCTCAAATATAAAAGGGCAGAACTATATACAAATGAATAAGAGAAAAGAATAAGGTAGAGAAATTAAAAATGACAAACAAAATAAAAAGGAAGCAACATTAGCAGATGTTAACTTTAAGTATTAGATATATTCATGTGAAGCCAATCTGAGAAGATATTAAGTAGAGAAATTTAAGTTGATAAATAGTTTTATCTCTTATATATAAGTATTATTTATGTTAGTAAATAGTTTTATCTCTTATATATATGTATTATTTATGTTGGTAAATAGTTTTATCTACGATATATAAAAAGCTTAATTGCATGTGTTATTGAGTGATTTTATTTTTTATGAAAAATTTTTATTCATCGAGTTCATCAAAAATTATTAGCAGTAACCAAGTTTAAATTAAAATTCACTAGCTACACGGAATCAACGTCAAAAAAAACTTTCTCTAAAAATTTTTGTACTAAGTCATAGATATATGCATGGATATGATTTTCATAAATTTTTAAAAATATTTTGTGACGTCGAGAAAGTTATGGCCATTTTAACATTTCAGTCAATATCCTAAAATCCAGAAAATATTTATTTCCTTAATTTTCAAAAAAAAAGTTTTAAATTGATAACACTTTTAAAGGGATCCCAAACTCCCAACACATGTTTTGTTCATATTAAAGATAATGTTAAAAAAAAAGGTTTGAACCAAATTTTTTTGATTAAAAATAAATAACGAATGCATACCGTGAAAAACAAATGTTGTTGTTTTTGCCGAAGCTCGTCTTTTCCAATTTTTTCAACTACTTGGAGTCTTCAAATTATGCGTTGCAATCTACAGACTTTGACAATTCCTTTGAAGCGCGTTTAATTCATAAAAGTTTTAGTATTTGACGTCACGGTAGACTTTTAACAAAAGAAACTCTGGAAATATTTTTATTTATTATTAGTCGAAGTTTTTTTGATTATTTGTTTAGTTTTTTTTTCTACTTTTAATATTTAAAAAGATATAAAAAACCTTAAATATTTTATGCTGGTTCGTTGCTATAAATTGTTATTGCGCCATATATTTAATGTTTATAAATTATGAATATTTATTATCTCAAAAATTGTTTTACATTAATTACCCGTATAAAATTAGTAACAGCTTTTTTATTTGGTTAGATGATATTTTTTTTTTTTTTTTTTAACATCTTCACTTCCAACAAGGCTGCAAGCAATCACTATAAGAGTTGGAAGTTACTGGAAGAGAAAAGACTAAATCTGTAGAGCAAGATGACGATTGACTGATGACTTAAAAGATTGCAAATTATATGAATCAGGAAAGCAAGATGAAGGAAGCGAATTCCAAAGAACTGATGTTCGAGGAAAAAAACTAGAAGAATAAGAGTTTTTGAAGCACTTAGGAACAGTCACAGAAAAAGGATGAGACTTAATTGAATGACGAGTAACACGAGAATGAATTATAGTAGATGGCACAAGGGACGCTAGCTCTTTAGAGCAGTGCCCATTATAGTATTTGTAGAAAAGAGAAAGAGAAGCAACATTACGACGATGTGACAAAGGTTGGAGATTGGCTGCCAGAGCAGGTCCAACTATGTTTACAATTCGTTTTTGCACCTTGTCTAAAAGAGAAAGAGCATCATTAGAAGATCCGCCCCGGATGTGGCAACAGTATTCCATACAGGGACGGATTTGAGATTTATAGAGATAGAGAATAGAATCTGGAGTAAGAAAGTGTCGAGCTCGATAAAGAGATGCAACCTTAGCAGATGCTAATTTTGCAATGGATTTGATATACGGCTTAAAAGAAAGATCAGAAGTAAGAGTTAATCCTAGAAGATGAATGGTAGATGACCCATCTAATACATTACCATTCATAAATATAGGAAGATCTAAATTATTACGATAACGATTGGCCCAATAAAATTGAGTTTTATCTGAATTAAAGTTCACCAGCCACTGTGAGCCCCATGCTGTAGCAGAAGTGAGATCCTTTTCAAGCTCAGATACCCCCTCCAAGCAATCAGAGAGTGTAGGCTTCTTATCATGACAAGAGTAAATGGTAGTGTCGTCAGCGAATAATGCCACCTTAGATGTGAGAATATCTGGAAGATCGTTAATGTAAATTAAAAAGAGTATAGGGCCAAGGATTGAACCTTGAGGAACCCCTGAAGTTACAGGATGTGAAGAAGAGTGTTGTCCATCGAGGACAACTTTTATACTACGATTGGAAAGAAAGGACTCAATAATCTTAAAGATGTTACCAGCTACACCATAAGAAGAAAGCTTATGGAGAAGACCAGCATGCCAAACTTTATCAAAAGCTTTAAAAATGTCAAGTGCGATAGCCTTAACCTCTTCACCTCTATCTAATGCACGGTAAAACCTATCGGTTATTACTGTTAGCACATCAGCTGTAGAACGAGAAGACCGAAATCCATATTGATGATCAGAAAGTAAGTTATTTGATTCAAGATGAGAGATTAAGTGTTTGTTGATTAAAGATTCAAAAACCTTGCTTATGACAGGAAGAAGACTAATGGGACGGTAGTTAGATGAATCAGATCGCTCTCCAGAATTTTTGAAAATAGGGATAACAGATGCTGCTTTCCAGCATGATGGAAAACAAGACTCTGATAAGCACTTGTTAAATAGTTTTGAAAGTATGGATGAAAGCTCCGGAGAACACCTCTGCAAGAGTACAACAGGAATGTTGTCAAGACCACAAGCTGTTGAAGAGTCTAAGCAGGAAATTACTTTTGATACAGAAGCTGAAGTGATGCGAATGTCAAGCAAGGGATCAACCTGTTTGACAGCTATGTCAGGTAAAACGCAACTAGTGGAATCGAGAGATGATATTGATGAAAAGTTCTTAGCAAACAATTCAGCTTTGTCTTTAGGTGAGGTGACAAAGTCTGAACCATACAAGAGAGAAGGAATAACAGATTTGCCCTTATTATTGATACTGTTAAAGATTCTCCAGAAGTCTCGAGAGCCTAATTTTTGTGATGAGATACGAGATTTAATGACCTGAGAATAGCGAGCTTTGGCGTCAGACAAAACCTTTTTACAATGGTTTCTGGCGATAGTGAACAGATGTCTGTTTTCTGGAGAATTGTTTTGCTGATAGATATGGAAGTAACGGTTTCGATTAGAAATTGCTGCAGTGTAATGTGAGGAAAACCAAGGAGAAGAGTGAGGCTTGACCTGGAATCGTCGAGAGGGAATAAAAGATTCCATGCCAGCCTGAATCCACGAAGTTATGTAAGAAGCACATTTGTCAGCAGGAAGACGAAAGATTTCTACCCAAGGGCCAAGCTGACTGGGACTCTGGGAAAGAGTCCCAGTCAGCTTTAAGGTAGTTGTATGTGGTACGATGATAGGGGGATTCTGATGAAGTAGAAGAGTTTGATAATAGTTTTAGAGAGATCAAACCGTGATCAGAAGTACCTAAGGGTGAATGTGGAGAAATTGAGCACTGACTAGGATCCAAAACAAGACATAAGTCGAGTAGAGAAGGTAAATGATTAGGGTTGTCTGGAAAACGAGTTGGAAAGTTGACTATTTGAGTTAGAGATTGAGAAAGGCAAAAGTTGAGGGCCTTAACGCCAGCAGAGTCACTGACACTAGAGCCAAGCCAATCGGTGTGATGGGCATTAAAGTCACCAACAACGACGATATTGGCCGATGGATAAAGAGAGAGGGCTTGGTCAATTTGATCAGAAATAGCATCAAGAATAGTGCAATCTTGGGATGAAGGAGAGCGATATAGAACAAAGAGAAAGGCGATAGAGTGAAGTTGTGCTAAACGAAAGCACATAAATGAATAGTCTGTAGATTCAAACCTAGTTTTACGACAAATGGGTGAGTTCTTACAAATGTAGATGCCCAGGCCAAGCATGTGATTATTGGAGTCTTTACGAATTAAAGGAAGATAACCATCAACACTAAGATCACAAGATGGGACAGCCGAACTCAAATTAGTCTCACAAAGAGCAAGTAGGTCTGGTGAACTTTGCAAGAGATAAGACTCAACAGAAGAAAAGTTACTTCGAAGACCACGAATATTAGTAAATGATAGGTTTAGAGAACTTGGTGATGACGATGGTTTTTTGTGTTTTTTAGTTTTAGGTACTTTAGTCATTTTGAATTTATAAAGAACTTGACTCAAGTATAGATAGTACTCAGTACACTATTTCGTTTCAATTTGCTTTGCATGAAGTTCGGAAAGTCAAATTAAAAAAATTAGTTTGAATAATCACGTCGAAATATATTTAAAACAAATTATTTTAATGACAGGGTTCTAAAGTTTTTTATAACAAATGTAGGTAAAAAAATAAATAACTAAATAAAAAGTTCAGTATTAAACACCATTTCTTTATTATATTGCAACTGTAAATATTGAATTATTAACGTGAACTAAATTTACTTATTTTTTAGAACGACTAAGCAATAAAAATAAAATGCCTCTAAAATTATGCGAGATTGTGTTGTTTATTTGATAACTGTTGTTGGTAATGTTGTTTATGTTGATTATTTTCATAAATATCAAAATAGTTCCAGATTAATCTGTTCGTTGCTTTGCTCATTGTTGATTTATTTCTAATTTAATTTTATCTCAAACTATAATTATATATTAAAAAATAAAAGTTTTTATTTCATCGGGCGCTCTTTTTATAAAAGAGTAGAACAAAAGAGAAAGAAAAGTTTAGCGCAATTAAACTTTGAATGAATAAGAGTTGTAAAGAATATATATATTTTTTGCGTCACTCGTTCTTTTTTTAGATGAGAGAAATAAAAGTTTAATAGTTTAATTTTCTTTGAATAAATAAGAATTGGAAGAGAAAATTGCTTGAAAATTTGTATTTGTTAATCATGTTTTTAAAATTTTTTTAATTTTTCATGTTAAGAGACAAATGCCAATTACGACACAAATTTGGAAATACCAAATATAATATGTTTTTTAATGCGCGTTATGACATTTTTACAATTTAAATAACCATCTATCTTGAATTATTGCCTTTAATTAATGTGTTAATTATTGCGTCATTTAATAATAATTTGTCCGTATTTTGGTTAAATATTAGTTGAATAATACTACAGTAGAAAAACGCAGCTTAGTTTAATTACACTTTTCTTTTGTTAAAAGTCTATCGTGACGTCAAATACTAAAACTTTTATGAATTAAACGCGCTTCAAAGGAATTGCCAAAGTCTGTAGATTGCGACGCATAATTTGAAGACTCCGAGTAGTTGAAAAAAATGGAGAAGGCGAGCTTCGGCAAAAACAACATTTGTTTTTCACGGTATGCATTCATTATTTATTTTTAATCAAAAAAATTTGGTTCAAACCGTTTTTTTTAACATTATCTTTAATATGAACAAAACATGTGTTGGGAGTTTGGGATCCCTAAGTAAAATAGTTTTCTTGGTTTCCATTCAAGAGAAAATCAATACTAATAAAAATTTACAGTTTTACAGGGCCTACGATGCTGGGGGAGCACATACCCCCCCCCACTTTTTTTCTAAAGGACTTTTTTTTTTTTTTTTTTTAAAGAAAATTCAGGATATAAACTTTTTTAGAATTTGACTGTTGTGCCCCCCCCCCATTTTGAAACCCCTGTTGTCGCCATGTTTCATGAAGAAATACTTTATTAAGAACTATGATTCCAATAAAGAGCATTTACCTTCTGCAATATGGGCTAGATACAGACTAATTTTTCTTAAGATTAAAAAAGAGGAGACAACAAATAATGATCTACCTGGCTCTACCTTGATTTTTCCAAAGTTATTCTTCAGACTCTGACAAGATTTTGCTGTTTTGCTGTTGCCTTATTTGTAAAGTTGCTCGTTTTAATCTAATTGGAATGAGCAAGCATCAGCTAAGGCTATTCTTTTCCAAGTAGGAAGACCTCCAGTAGCAGCCAAAAATTTTTTACCACCTTGTGGGCCAGTTTAAGTGTGCCAGCGCTGTTGGCAGCTAGTTAGCAGTGGAATAGCACATCCATACCCTTAAACAATTTGTAATGGAAGGGAAAATCTTCAGACAGTTTTTGGCCAAGCTTCGCGTTTAGCAGAAATTATTGCTTCTGATGTGATCAAAATGAAATTTGCAGCATCTGAAAATGGAGGCTCAATTGCTATTTTAGCAACAAGAGTGAGTTAACAGTCACAAAAAGCGTCAATAAAATCAAAAAGCGTCTTAAAAATCAAGAGCACGTTTCTGTTTAAATCTTGTGTCTGCTGAGGAAATTAGTAAATTGCATTATACTTTAGGTCTCTCTTTAAGAGACCTAAAGTAAACTCACAAAGCAGCTACTTTTTTCAGAACTTGGAGTGGTGGCAAATCAATTGAATTAGGTTTGGTTGGAAAATTAAGTCAACAAGACAAAACACTTGATTTATTCTACAATTCTGCAATAATGGACTTTGATGTTTCCAAAGGTGATGAACAAAGTGGAAAAGCTCAGCACTCAGTTATTTTTTGTAATGACATTTTTGGTTTGGTTTAACACATCCTTGACCATTGAGACCTTCTACCAGATAATTATATGATCAAAGTAGGCATTGTTGGAGGTGGAGGGTTTCTCAAGGTTTGTATGAATATATTGGATAGCCAAAAAGAACAAAGCATAAGTTTAAAACATTTTTGCAGATTTATAACATTTAATGCAGACAGAAATACTTTGGGAATGTTTCCTCTTATAGAGAATCTATACTTTCTTTTGAAAGAGCACTTGGAATTTCAAGAAGAAGAGGTCTGGGGTTTTGGAGTGAGCAAGCATACAAATCAGTTCATTCAGATTTCAGCAGGCTATGGGAAACAGGCGCTTACAAACAAAATTTGGGTCATCCAAAATACAGTAAAAAAAAGAAAGAATTGTAATTTCGTAATGCTCAAGACATCTCTAAAAGTCGATAGTGAAAAACTAGTCAAAATTTGTAACTTCATTGAAATTAAAGAATCCGGTAAAGAAGATAATAACAAATTTCTAAATTTGATGTAAAAAATATAGAAAAATGTTTTTTATTTAAAAATGTTATGTTCTTTTCCATAGTTTAGTAATATAAAGAATAGCTTTACAAATTTGATGGCCAGGCCAAGGCCAAGGACTAACAACTTTGCTTATGCCTCACAAAGACTGGTGTGGAGAAAAAATTTGATCTTGGTAATGAAGCAAGTGCTTTATCACTTCTGCAATTTGTGAAAGCTGGAGTAATTAAAATCCCTAAAATTTAAATTAAACTTGTTGCTCTGGGATGTCAAGAAGATTGAGGTCATAAGATACAAAAAAATAAATAAAGAAAATCGTTTTTAGTAACTGGTTCATCCTTATTCTTGGGAGAGGTAATGAGATTAGACCAATGTATGGGAGATGGAGTGTTAGATCATTGTTAATGATGCTGCTGAAGATTTGCCTAAATTCTCTTGAGTCTAACTTCTGATAAGATACGGAATTTAGTAAACTGAGAATAATGGAGCTTAGCATCTGACCTTTTTAAATCGATTTCTTGCAATAATAAATAGGAATTTGTTCTCAAGAGAGTTATTCTTTTGAAAAAAATGATTAGACATAACAGCTGCACAAGGTGAAAACCATGGAGTAAAATGATGCTTGACTTGGAACAAATAAGAAGAAACAAAGGCTTCTATTCCTTCCTGAATCCAGGAGATTACATAGGAGATGCATCAGACATCAGCCCAAGAACGAAAAAAATTACCTAAAAACCCAAGTCAACTTTAGGTTAGTAGTAAGTAGTGCAACACTAAGCACTACTAGAGATTATTTAGTAGTGTTTATCTTCTAAGTCTCTAGAACATTCTGAGATAAAATGAAATTTAGTTATAGAAGAATAATGGACCTTAGCATTAAACAAAATCTTTTTGAATCAATTTCTTGCAATAATAAAAGATGTTGGTTTTTAACAGAGTAGTTCCAGAAAAAATGATGAAAAAAACTTGCAACTAGAAATTGCAAAATTGATTAGAAATAACATGGAAAAGGGAACAATCTTAAAAAGGAGAATGATAAAAAAGAAAGAGAAAGATGATTATATTAAATAGACAGAATCTTAGGCAATACAGCAATTTTATTTCTGCTTTTGATTGCACTTCAATCCTGCAATATCATTTCTTCCAACCTAAAGGCATAACAAAGAGCCTTAATTTCTAAAATGACTCTGAGTCTAAAGCTGTAATTTATGTTAAGTCAAGCTAAGGAATGTTGTACTTATTTTCATTCTGTAACTTAACCTTACATCTTTGAAGGTAAGGTTAAGGAATGCTGTACTTATTTTCATTCTGTAAATTACATCATGAGTCAAAACTAGTAAAAAGCCTTAACTAGTAACTCAACTTTCAAGAACAATTTAAATGTAAAAATATTCTTCTATGTACCTTGCAACGTAAAAACCTTTTAAAATTACTTTGTAAAAAAATTTTCTATCTACCTTGAAAACCAAAGTTTTCTTTGCACAGCCATTGATTCAACTGCTTCTGTAACTAATTCTTTCTAAAAAAAAAAACATTTTTATTTTGTACTTGTTTTTAAATGATTTATTAAGAGGAAAAAAAATTACCTGTAATAAATCAAATGAATGCTTCCAATAGTAATTAGAAGCAGGACCACTCCGTAATCCCCCTTTACCACCAGCTTTCACTCCTAATACATCTGCAATACAAGCAAATGTACGAGATAGAACAGCAGAATCTTTTGTACGAATAGCAACTGTAAAAAAAATTTGTAATAAAATGATTTACAACTGTACAAATAAAGAATCAACTGTTTCAGCAACATAAAAAATATATCAAGAATTTTTACTTAATATTTACTTTTTATGTTAAAAGTATAAAAATTTAATATAAAAAATAAATAAATTTTAAATTAGTTTTGTTTCTTTGTTTTATCATAGCCAAAAGAATATAAAAACACTGACTAAACAACCCCTGACCATTTTCATTATTTTTTTCTTTGAGAAAACATTGTTACTGTCCAATAAACCTGCACTAAAGCTAAATTGTCTAATAATGATGGCAATTTTTGAGCAAAGCAAAAAATGATTTTACTTGACATATTTAAAGGCAGTTTTTTGAACAATGTAATAAATTTAAATATTGATATAAGTTTGTTTATATTTTTTATTCAGAAGACATTATTTAAAAACTTATTTCTGAAGACATTATTTAAAAACATAAGAAATTAAAGAATAAAAGATGAGAAAGAGAAAATTAATGATGCAACATTTAAAAAATAAGAGTACAGTCGACTCTTGATATCTCTAATACTTGATATCTTGAACTTTTGAGTATCTCGAACTTTTTTAGCAGTCCCATGGACATAACGAACTAGTTTAGGCTAAAATCCTCTCGATATCTTGAACCTTATTATCTCGAACTTTTTGGTATCTTGAACAATATTTTCGGTCCACATGGCAATTTTCTCTCGTTATCTCGAACTTTTCAACTTTTTTTTTTCAAAAATGTTTTAATAAAATTTAAATTTTTTTTAAATTCCAATTTTCGAAAAAAATTTTTTTTTTTCGAAAATTGGAATTTTTTTAAAAAAGTTTTCCTTTAATATATTAATTTATTCTTTTTGTCAAACGCAACAACATGCCGCTCGTTAAACAAAAACTCACGAATAAATCTATAATAGAAAAATGCAAGGCATAAAAAGACCTAGAGACAGGGATGTCTTACAAAGAGGTTGCCAAAAAGTATGGAGTCCCAAAGAACACATTATCAACCTGGATTAAAAATAAAACCAATTTATTAACCTCACTGGAAAAAAATGACACAAAATCTAAACGGAAGAAACTTCGTAGTGGTAATTTCAAAAATTTAGACAAGGCCATATACACGTGGTTCGTTGCAAAAAGAAGTCAACAAGTACCAATTGATGGTACCATACTAAAAGAAAAGGCACTAAAATTTGCAGAAGCATTAGGAGAGTTGTATTTTAAAGCATCTGATTGTTGGTTTCATAATTGGAAAGAAAGGTCAGTTAAATTTTGTCAAATCTTGTTCAATTTTAATATAAACAAAAAACATGTATCTGTTTATATTTAATTCATTTAGTTTTTTAAACGTATAATTAAAATTCAATTATTTTGTTCCTATTTTTAGGAACGGCATCAGCTTTAAAATAATCTTAGGTGAAAGTGCCGCCGTGACGAATAATATAACTGCTTCGTGGAATGAAACTACACTTCCAACATTGCTTTTGAATTACAAACTTGAAAACATTTTCAATGCCGATGAGTTTGGACTATTTTACCAGTGCCTACCAAACAAAACATACCATTTATCACGAGAAAAATGTTTTGGGGGAAAAAATAGTAAAGTCAGACTAACAGGCATAGCAGCAGGGAGTGCAACGGGAGAAAAATTACCTATGTTTGTTATTGGAAAATCTAAAATTAATATACAAACTATTACTTGCTACCAGCATAAAGTAGAATTAAATTTTTGGCATTAAAACTATTGCCAAAATAAATATTAAAAAATTTCTTTAAATTTTGCACCTATTTATACATTTGTAATCCACTTAATCCCACCATTCTTTTTTAAAAAAATGGCTTTTTTAATGAATAATTTTGTTTCAAAACACTGTTCAGACTTATTAAAAATGAATTAAAAGCTTGATAATTTAAAATAATGTTCTCAATTTTAGTGCAAAATAGTAAAATAGTGAAAACATTTAAAAAGTGCTCATTTCATAAGCGAGAGGTTGCGAATCCTCTATATTATTTATCCTTTTAAATAAGGTTTTACTAGCCTATCAATTAAAATGGCCACACAATCGTATTGAAAGGACTCTAATAGGAAACTAATTTCATGAAACAAGACAAGGGAAGTTGGTACACTGAATAAAGTCTTCTTTTTTCAAAAATGACAGTAATATAGAAAATAAACTAGGTATATTGTTACAAACAACTTGATGATGGAAAAAACAGACTAATCAATCAACAAACCATGCCAATTTTTGAACAATGTGTATTAAGAAAGCCCCTTAAATTTTTACAACAATAAACAATATGGATTTCTGATTTACTAGACTATTTTTTCATATATACGCATATGCAGATACATAGAGCTTTAAGTGAGTTTTTTTCCACTGCAACCTGTTTTGTGTTATATATATATATATATATATATATATATATATATATATATATATATATATATATATATATATATATATACACATATATATACATATA